TCAATTAGTTAAGGAACACTTCCATAGTTTAAAGGTCCTGGTGGAATCACAAACTCCTGCAGGAACAGCAGCTGCTTACAGTCCTTTGGAACACCTCAACAGGTGAGACAAAGTCTAGCAGAACCAAATCTCCCTCCGTTTTTTTCCAAAAAGTACCTCTGAATATCTATGCTAAATGTTAATCTCACATTGATGAGAATGATACTAGGAGACTTACAAAGAACCTCTTAGAGAATTCTTAGTTTGGTAGTAAGAACATTTTGGGCAGGTCACATACTTCAGGTCCTGCACTTCCCAGTTTTCTTGGTTAAAAGAGAAAACATCTGTGACAAAATTAACAACAAACACCAACAAGGACTTTATTTTTTTTGCTGCTGTTTCATATTGTCACCGTTTGACTCAAGTTCAACAACAACGCTCTTGATCTCCTCCCACCCAGGTAGGGAAGGAGAGGGAGAAAAAGAGAGATTTTGCTGGATTGAAAACTAAACTCCACAGCTTTAATTAAACACATCTACGGTGATGGATGAACAGAGTCCTCCCCGGATGCCAGCCATGGTTGGAAGAGAAGGGAAGAAGAAGCAGGAAGGAAGTTGTTTTCTGTGATCTCTGACCTTCCCCTGAGCTTACATAGATTTATGGAATGGAATATCTCTGGGCAGTTTTGCTGTCTGTCTAACTCAGCCTCCTATGGGGGGGGTCACAGATCTCCCCATAGTGTCTGAGCCGGCAGAGTGAAGGTGCGACATTGAAGACCCAGCAGTTAAAAAAACATTCTTATCAGCCTTAGTTGGTAGGCTCTGAGACTAGTTAAAAGAAAGCTTACTGAAGGAAAAAAAAAATCAGTAAAAGGAAAATTGGCTTCATCCTGGCTCAAACCAGGACACATATATTGTTAAAACTGGATGAATAAACATATGTCTCCTTGCCCCTGAGAAGCCCTGTGCAAAATTTTAAATCCAAAGAAACGAAGAAATAGTTCAAGCTGTTTCTGGATCCTTCTGGCAGTTGAATTACTTTTGGATTAGCACACATAAAGTGCCTCAATTTAGCACATTAGTGTTGTTTTCAAGGAAAACATCCTGCTGCTCTTCCTGGTGAAATCACAGGGAACTGTATCTCTAGGTGAACTTCACAGAGTGCCTCAAGAAGAGAGTTATTCCTTGATACACCTCTAAGGGTAAGGATACCATTTTATTAGACGACACATCACAGGACACTCTACTCCTGTCTTGTTTTACACCTGCTTTAGCAGTCAAATGAGTGTTGTTCAAAGAGGAAAGAGAGCACATATGCTGCAACATGCTCTTAAAACAATACCATAGTCTTCTTCATTTCATGCTTAATTTGTAACAATTCTATTTAGAAAGCCTTAATTTAGGTAACTCTAACCCTCCAAGCCTCCTGTGGTCTTTTCTGTTGTAGTTCCTTCCATGTTCTGATATATGTAAAGCTTGAATAGCACCAGATCTTACCTGATGATCCCTTTCCAATTTATTTCCATGCCCACCAGACAGCATCTTGCCAGCAAAGACCCAGCAAGATAAGGGACAGACAGTTTCACCAATGAAAATACCAAAGCTGGTAACATAACAATAAACCAATAAAATACAGGGGAAGGAGAGGAAAGGTAATTCCACACACTGCATAAACCAGAGAGAAAAGAGGAAAGATCTTTATACTTCTGAAAATTCAGATTAGGGGATTGGGAACTCAAAGAAAGTCACAAATTCCCAAAGGACAAATTTATCCCTCTTTGGCAGTTTTCTCTAGGACATAGCAGGCTATATGCAATGGGAGTGGCTGTATACAGACACTGCTATTCCCTGAGGAGCATTCCCAGGACTGCCTGACTAGGGACTCAGTGGGGTAACACCCTTCTCTCAAGTACTTCCCCAGTCCCTGCAAGCAAATTTGGCTTGTCACAACCTTTATAAGCAGGAATCCCAGCCAATTAGGGTTTTGTTTGTGTGTTTGGGGGTTTTGGGGTTTTTTTTTTTGCAAGAACATCTCTTTCTGAGAAAATAGATCCAGGTGTGTATTTGTTTTATATGTGCTGCAGAGAAGCCTGTGATCAGATAGTCTAATAGAAAACCTGGGAAGAATAAGAACAACTCTTGAGAAGTAATGAGACAAGACCAACACATCTGTCATAGACTGCATGCACTGCTCACTGATTTTGAAGTCTCAGATACTCACATTCAGAAAAAGTACAGTACAACAAGAGATTTTCCTTTAGATAGTGTTTCTGTACAAGCCATTACTTTTACAGCAGAATTGACTCAGTACTTAAGTGGAAAGGCTCAGGCAAGCTAGACTAGAGAAGGAGATGTTATTATTAAAAGGAACTTCTTTTAAAAAAATAATCACACAAGCATGCACATGAAAAGATACATTGGTTCTGACTTACTCATCACCTAAATACCTTATTTAGGGTCAAGTCAGGTTGATCAGGTTGATTCTGTCTTTGAAAGTCTGATTCACTCTAGCAACTATGAAGGTCAACCTCCAGTCCTTTGATATGTAACAGAATTGAGAAAGAATGGGAGAGTAAGGAAAGACAGCCTAACGTGAAAGATGCCAAAAAACATTCATCATGCTTTCTCACAGTTGAGAGCAATGACAGGTAGCAACAAGGTGAGTAACATTAGAGAAGTGGTATTTTTACTGTGGGATATGGAAAAAGAAAAGCATGGATAAGATAATACACTTAAGAGATCTCTGTGGTGTTTCCTGGACTTTTTTTCATGGTGTCTGTTAGGAAACCAGTGCTGTGATATTGTGTATTGTTAGTCCTCAGACTTTTACTGGGGAATTCTTTCTGTGTGTCAGGTTAACTGAATCTAAACATATATTCAGCAGCCAAGAAAATGTAGCCCAGGGCACAGTTCTAAGAGCAAATAGTTCTGAGCCACCTTCCCAAAGGAGAAAGTAAAACATGGTGTGTACATCTGAAGTCTCAGAAAGGATTCTGCAACCTGGAACTGCAATACTGAGGAGTTAATATGTATTTTTTTTCTTTCATCTGATTACTGTTTAAATAATCTTTTCTCTTTCAGTATCATGAACAGTTGTTGGGTTTTTTTTCATTCTTTCAAAGCTCGCACACTACTAAGCTACCTTTGATAACCTTGACACCATAAAAGTTTAAAAGGTTAAATAATGAAAAATAGGGTGGCAACAGAAGTTGAGGAGATGGAGTACTCATTGCTTAGCTAGCAGGAAATGTCCCTCATATTTTTGGAGTGACATTTAAAACAAGCCAGCTCAGTGGAAGGCAGGACAGTGTTCCCATGTCAACTCCAGGAGGGTTTCCCATCCTTTAAAGCAAAATATTAAAAAAATTAACAATACCATTTGTAATAACAGAAACTGAATAATAATTTTTACATGAACCTGAAATAGGAAATAAAGTTTACATTAAATCTATCTTTTGATAGATAGAGTGACCCAGTAGAAATTACATTGGAGCAGAGGTGACAGCTCTTCCAGAAACCAGTGTTGGCTGAGCTAGAGTTGCAGCAACCTAGACCTTTGCCATGCCTACAGCTGTTGCCTCATCTTCTGTGAGAGGTCTTAACATCAAACATTGAAAGATACCCGCTTCCCACTTAATGTCTGTACAATTCCTGATCATCTAGGTGGAAGCAGTGAAGTAGCTTCCTTTAGAGCCATGTTACAGGAACGCTAACAACCATCCTTTAAACACATGTTCCTACATCGCAGAAAAGACACTCTTCAGAGGAAGAACCTGGAGTAGGTTGCACAGAAGCTTGTAGGAACTCTATCCTTGGAGATACTCCCAGTGTGACTGTTCAAGGCCCTTGGCAACCAAATAGAGCTCTGGAGTGGCACAGCTCTAAGCAGAAGATCAGACCAACTGCCTTCATTATCTTCTGTATTCTGGCTCCAGAAGGTCTCATTCAGCCTAGACCAAACCAACAGTTAACTGCCCAAGTCTCTGTCTAATTAACAGTCACTGTAAACCTTTTCAATCAGTAGAGAAATTCTAGCACTGCATGAGTACAGTTAATAATAACCCTTATTGTGCCCCTCCTCCACTTTACTATTTAATCCAGAACACCCTCAAATTTTCTAATGAACTTTTTTCTTGTTTCATGCTAAATAACTGATCGCTTTTTTTACCCTAGTGACTGAGAACAAGCTAATTTACCCTGACTGGGAAAAAACCTGAAACATGATGCAATGCTGGAAGATTACAAAGTCTTTATCATTCTTAACATATATGTGTTGATTTCATGGACAGCAAGATAATTACAGAGTCACTTGCTAGTCATATCTGCATGCTTGGAACTTTTCATTCTTTTCAGGAAATACGATGTTCCATTAAGCTGTAGGAGAGAAAAGCCACTGGAAAAAGAAATCTTTTAAATGAAGGTTTTGAGTTTTTCTGAGACTAAGCCCCTCTTAGCCCCTGAAGTTGCAGAGAACAGTGTTATCTCCTCTACATGGTAAAACCTGTCACCTTTGTGTGGTAATCAGGAATTGGACTCCTCTGCTTCTAGATGTATTACAGTCAACTTCCAGCAGTTGACAGCAAAAATAAAGCACAATCATCAAGTCCTCAAAACCCATTTCGACAGTTACAATCTAATCCTAAGAATTTATTTTAAGATTAATTTGCTCCACTAAAGCAAGAAGATATTCTTAAAATAAAGACAAGATGACACTTTCTCACAGGGATTCAGGACATCTACCTCACTTTTGAAGTACTGACATAAACCACATAAAAACAAAAGTGTCTCACAGTTCAAAAATCTGTGTGCATATTTACTGGCACTCTAATGTAGAACACCTGATAAGAGTTCAGACCACCACAACACCACGTAAGAACTGCTTTATTGCTTGCAGTTAACGTGTAACAATTAAATTATGATTCCAAGCATTAAGCCAGCTGCTCATAGTAAGTATAAGCTGCCATCTTAGTTACATGGAATTGGACGAAGAGATGCTAGTCACTGAGGCATCCTGAACTGGAATCATTTTTGCTTCTTGGGCATTGAATCGACAATCAGCTGGTAAATAGCGTAGGCTCCTCCTGAATGAAGAGACAGATAAGATCTTTTCAGAATGGTAAACAGAATTACTTCCAAGTCAGCTTTCTCTTCCTATTTTTTTTCAGAAGAAATATTGCCAGTAAGCAGCTAAAATTCAGACACATTTCCCTAGCAACCTCTCAATAATTTATTTTCTTTTTGGCTATTCACATTTTAGAGAAAAACCTCCTTAAACACCTCTCCACAGACTGCATAAAAAGAAACAGGGAAAAAAAAAAGGGGGGGAGAGGCATGTTTGTGGGACCTACACAGGACCTACACCTACTACATCATGAAGTAATGGTTATTAATTCTTAAAATAATTGAACTGAAAATCAATTAGATTAATATATGTAAATTAGAGGCTATTACAAAACTATTTAACAAACAACATAAAGGTAAAATATATGCAGTATCACACGGCTTGGATGTATTCTGCTAGTTTTCATAGCATGTGAAACCTTAGCACAGCAAGTATCACCTAGCACTTGAGAGAGTCTGGCTAGTGAGAAAACTGGTATGTATGTGCTCCTTTTCAGAATAAGCTTTTAAGTACTTCTAGTTTTCTCTGTCACCATACACGAATCCTGAAGGAGTGTTCAGCCCATAGTACTATTAGGGGAAAAAAAGCCATCTGAAAGGCTAAACTTGAGGAAGCACAAATAAATATATATATAGTATGTCAATCTATTTTTCCCCCTCTCTACCTGCATTTTGCAAGTTCTAAAGAACAGTGTGAAGGAACTGCCTAAGTGATTTACAGAGGAAACACCAATCATGTTGGAGATTGTCCCAGAGAAGAAGTATTTCAATATTAGCATGTTGGGAATTTTAGTATTAGCCTTACCAAAAACTGAAACACCCACAGTGAATCTATACAACAGCCCATCCATGGGTCCACCTTTAAGATACACTGGAATGCCATTATCCTCCTAAGGGAAACAAGTGACAGAAATAAACTATATTTAAATACAGCTCTTGCAATATTATGTTAATATAACTAAAATTACCCAGAACAAGAATTACTTCCCCAAGTTATCTTCCCAACTCGCAAAAGACACTGAACTTTATTTAGATGCCACTTTGTCTTTCAAGCTTTCACTCTAGTGGTAGGTGATCACTCACTAGGGAAGTTTAGTAAATTATGTGTACATTCATTTCTAAAGTAGTGATTGGCAGATGCCTTCTGACATCACTGACATCAGTGGCCAGACCCTTCAGGTGCAAAGGACATGATGACTGTCACTGCAAACTTCCCATCCATCTCCAGCATAGTCAGTCCCTGCTATAGGGAGCAACAGGGAAGGAGCCTCTACTGTCACCTGGTGTCATACAGGAAACTGCTTGCTCCATCTGAAGTAAAACTCGACATCAGATCCACATGATCTTTACCTCTGTCAGCAACTTCACCCTGCTCTGGAATTTCAGCTGGCCTCTAGTGCTGGTGACCCACAACCCAGCCCAGCTTAACTTGCTGCCCCACAAGTAAGGAATGGGAAGAGGAAGAGATATGCCCAGAGACTTCTGTCACCAGACACAGAACCTCTGGCCTTGCTCACTGCAAACATCCTGCTCTGTCCTGGCTGGCAATGAACACTGTGCTCCTTAGGCAGCATCCCAACAAGCCTGGCTTTCTCTTTCAGGTGAAAGGAAAGCAACAAGATACAAAAATTATTAAACTGGGGCTTCTAACATACTTTTTCCCTTTGACATTACTGACGCCCAGTCTACTCTATCCTCAGTATGAAGCTACTGCTTCAGGTGAACGCCCACAGTTGGGAGTATGCTCTTGGGCATCCACTGCTTTGACACTTGAAGAACCACTACTTCTAACCAGGTGTCCCTATCAATCAGAAAGAGATTAATTCAGAAGTTATTTATAAATATTCAATAATTTTCTAGGAGACCTTAAAGACCTTTCCTGTGTTCTTAACTGAGAAGTACCTTAAGAATACACCCTCATTCAGAATGATGGGTCTCATCTTTGAGCTATGGATACAGCTGTAAGACTGCAGGTTAACTTTCCACTGTACTTCTGTCCTCTTTATTTGTTCTTCAAACATACTCCACTATCTCATCCCATTTCAGAGCACTGTGTCTTCATCTTTGCACACTACCTGTGACTCATAGGAAACCCAGATTATCACTGCAGAGGGCAAAAAACCCTAACAAGTCAGCAAGTCAAGTATGCACACCCAAACATTCTTCACCTCTGTAGAAAGCAACTGCTGATTTCAAACACTATAGTCATACAGCTGATTTCAAGAGGTCACCTCAGATGTAAAGAGGACTTTCACCAGCTCCTCAGAAACAAAATTATATAATTATGACCTACTGAAAGCTTGTTATTCTACTGACATTATTCATTCTACTCTCAGTGTTCACTCAATACCTGAAAAAGCTTCTGCTTCTCAGGAACTTTATTTTCCACCTGCCTGCGTGAAGCAGTGCTTATGGTCCTCTGGGAAAGCTGGCGAAGACCCTGAAAGAAAAGATAAACAATGCCTTAGAGACAGTGAAAATTTTCACCTATATTCACACCGGGTAGAAATAATTTCTTTTAAAAGTAAGATAAAAGTGGAAGGGGCAGGAAGAAAGCCATTAAACAAACAAACATTCATCAAAACCCACTGGTTTTGAATTCAGTCAGCCTTCCAAGAGACTGTGTAAAGGACTGATTGACTGGTTACCTAAAATGGAAAAACTCAGGATATTTATTTTCAGTAAAATACAACAGATTTATGGATCTGCAACGTAACCTTTATGATTAGCATCCTCTTGATCTCAGCCCCTTAGATCTTGGTTTTAGGTACCATTTGCTGGGGCTGACTCTGGCAATGAGGACAATACTTAAGACAAACACAGAATCACAAACCAACGTGGGTTGGAACAGACCTTAAAACTATTTCCAACCCCCTTGCATGGGCAGGGACACCTCCCACCAGACCAGGCTGCTCAAAGCTCCATCCAACCTGGCCCTGAACACTTCCAGGGAGGGGGCACCCACAACTTCTCTAAGCAACCTGTTCCAGTGTCTCAGCACCCTCACAGGAAATAATTTCTTCCTAACATCTAATCTAAATCTACCTTCTTTCCAATTAAAACCACTACCTCTCATCTTATCACTACAGGCCCTTGTAAAAAGCCTCTCCCCAGCTTTCCTGTAACCCCTTCGGGTGCTGGAAGGCTGCTATGAGGTCTCCTGAGAGCCTTTTCTTCTCCAGGCTGAACAGCCCCAACTCTCTCAGACTGTCTTCATAGGAGGTGCTCCAGCCCTCCATTCATTTTTGTGGCTCTCCTCTAGACTTGCTCCAGGAGATCCATGTCCTTCTTGTGTTGGGGGCTCCAGAACTGGTCACAGTACTCCAGATGAGGTCTCATGAGAGCAGAGTAGAGAGGGAGAATCACATCCCTTGACCTGCTGGCCACACTTTTTTTTACGCAGCCCAGTACGCAAGTGCGCATTGGTGGCTCATGTTGAGCTTCTCATCAATCAACACCCCCAAGTCCTTGTTCTCAGGGCTGTTCTCAATCCTTTTTCTGTCCAGCCTGTAACTGTGCTTGAGATTGCCCCAACCCATCTGTAGGACTTTGCACTTGGCCTTGTTGAACTTCATGTGGTTTGAAGGGGCCCACTTCTCAAGGCTGTCTAGGTCCCTCTGGGTGCCATCCCTTCTCTCCAACGGGCTGACTGCACCACATCTCTTGGTGTGACCAGGAAACACATTTGTGCAGATAAGGATCTTCCACCACAGCTGCAGTTCACCTGCTAGCCACCAGCATAAGCTGAAGGAGGCACCCTCCCCAAACACACACAGTTTAAAGACGTCCCACTGCATCCTAAGCTTGAATCTGCTTCCACTGCCCGATCATACAGGTGCTCATTAGCACAGGCTAGACCACCAAAACCAATAATCTGTAATTCTTCCGATGGCTCAAGGTCTGCCTTCGTTAACATGTCAAGTCTCAAAGTTAAGAGCCAACTGCACCTCTAAGCCGCCAACACTGCCCTTCAAGCAACACTTTTAACACTGAGCCTCCTCCGCAAAATCACCGCCACTAAAAACGGGGCCGTGGGGAAAACGTCCAGACGATGCCTGTCGCAAGTGCCGGGACCGCGCACCTCCCGCCTCCTCCCCTCACCAGCCCAAATCATCACCCCGCAGAACCCACCTCCCCAGCCAGGGCCCGAGCACCCCACATCCGCTGGCTGAACCCTCATCCCCCCGAGCACCCATCGCCCGGCACCAGGCGGAGCGAGCGAGCCGGAGCGAGAAATGGGACATCCACCCGCGCCCGGGCACGCCCCGCCGCG